AGGGAAACTGAGGCACCTGAATGTCTCTTGACTCTGTTTCCTTTGGTCCATCGTTACTTGGCACTCTGGCAGCCCGCCACCTCTTCCAAGATGACTGCAACAGCCCCCTTTCTGTATACCGGTGTCCAGCCTTAACCCCGCGTCCAGCTCATTCTCAGACCTTGGCGCTGCCAGCGAGCTTAGTCCTACACGTGTCTGACCGTGACTGCAACCCTGAGAATAAATCCAAAGCCCTTCAACATAGGGATTCCTAGTCATGGGTAGAATCTAGAAGATCCGTGACTTTGGAATCGGAAAAATATTTTACCTTTACTTTCATTAACCTGCATTTGAAATTTAGCATCCCTTTCTGTCATGCATGTGAGCAAAACAACTACAGTCGTTTGGGCAACACCTGTTACTTTGTCCTGACAAAATCACAGATTTTCATATCCCATTGCAGTCTGCATATGTATCAAAACACCATTGTATTCACAAGAAAATATTAGGAAAAGATAATTTACAGTCGTCCCTGCTTTAAAATTGCAGTCATTTTTAGACCCATCGGTAGATCTTACTTAATGCCTTAATAAAGACTATGTATGCATTAATAAAGAAGCACATGTAGTAATGTTGCCGGGTTCTTTTCTCACAAAGTCAAAAAATGGATCTGGCAGACAAAGGGTGAAATTAAGGGAAGGATTATTAAGGGAAGGTGAGAACAGAGGGGAAAGCTTTCTAGAGTGAGGGATCTGGAATGGGTTGCCACTGAGGGCTTTTATTGGTAAATATTTTGTCTAGAACATTTAAGGCAAACAAGATGGATTTGTAAATATTATGAAAATATCTTGTCTATATTTAAAACAAACAAAGTGGGTTTGTTTTGTTCCCTGCTCTCTGGTTAATATCTTATCTATAACATTTCTCCACTTCTGGGATTTCTGTGAGCCTGGTTACATAGTACCCTGCATGAACCTGGTCACATAGCCCCCTACCTGTCTCTCCCTACCTAGCCTCACCTGTCCCTTACTCCGTAATGTGCCTTTTTTTTTTTAAATGAATAATGGTAACTGGATTTCTGTATCATTGGTTTTCTTTGTAATCATATGTGTTGTGTTTTATGCATTTCAAACATTATTCTGAGGAGGTTCAAGGCTTCACCAGACTGCTAAAGCAGGCCATAGCAAAGCAAGGTTAAGAACCCCCACATTTGTTTAAAAGGACTTACAAGCCCTTTGGTAATCTTCAATCCATTCCCTGCCTGCCTCTCCCTTCCTCCTGTCCTGCCACATTGCATTTCCCATAGGTAGACTCCAAACCATATTATATCCTCTCATCTCTGGACACCATAACTCAGCACTTTTCTCTTCAGCTCTGCATACAGGTCTGCCTTGCCAACTCCATCATTCACTAGCAGTGAGAATATGGGCAAGGCACTTGTAAGGCACTTGTAAGGGTAATGGTGGTCCCTCCCCTCCCCAAGGAGATGATACCTCTACAGTGCTTGGCACATATTAAAGACCCAATAAGTGGTAGTAGTTTTATGATTGCTCTCTCTACATGGACCGCTTTCTCTCTCCTGCTTAACTCCTCCTTACCCTGTGATATAGCTGAGATAACCACCTCTTCAGAAAAGCTGGTTATATGTCTTCACAGTGTCACCATCATACCTTGTGCGATTCCCTTCATAAATGGTGCTTCCTTTTCCCCTACTCTTGCCACTTATCTCTTTTTCCTTCCATCCCTGCATCCCTAGCGTTTGTGGGTGAGTTAACCCTGGCCTGACTTGCTCCACAAATATTTTAGTAAGAGGTTATGTGACGTGAACTTAACAAAGGCTGGGATCTGGCCTGTCGCTCACCATGGTATCCCCAGGGCTTAGCACAGTGTTCAGGAAAATAGTTCTTACATGAATGAACTTGCCAGAGAGACACTTCTCTGATGAGTGAGGGACTGAGATCCAACCAGAATTCCAGTCCAGTTGTTTCTACCTTGACAGAATGGATTTCTCTGTGGAGCTCTGAAGCTGACCCCAGACAAGTAAAATAATTTCTGAGAGCCACAGTTTCCTCATGTATGAAAAGCCTAAGTCCTAGGATTGTTGGGAGTCTCCAAAATGAACAGCTTTGACAAGCTAGTGAGGAGGTGTACATGGGAATAGAGGCATCTAAGATATCTGCTTTACGACTCAGTTTTTGTGAAATCATAAACCTTCTGCTAACCAAAGTAGATGTAGCTGCTGATAATAAGCCCTGTTACTTATTAAGCACCTTATGTGTGCCAGGAAGAATACTGAACACTTAACATACATTCTTGGGCCATTCTAATAGTAGCCACCATGAGTTGAGAGTTTACTGTGTGCCCTGTTCTTTTTTTATTTTTATTTTTATTTTTAAAGATTTTATTTACTTGAGAGAGAGCGGGAAGGAGGGCACTTGTGTGGGGGTCGGGGAGGGGAAGGAGCAGAGGAAGAGAGAAACTCAAGCAAGACTCCGCACTAAGCCAACATCTCACAACCCTGAGATCATGACCTGAGCCAAAATCAAGAGTTGAACACTTAACCGACTGAGCCACCCAGGTGCCCCGTGTGCCCTGCTCTAAACACTTCATGTTCATTGTCTAGTTTAATTCTTCCAGCAATCCATTCTAGCAATTATTAGCCCCATTTTACAGATGAGAAAGTGAATGCTCAGAAAGGTCATCCAGCTTGTAGGTGCCAGAGTCTTTCTGACTCTAAGCCTATGCTATTAACTGCTGTTCTTGTCACTCCCTGCCACAGACAAGTGTCTGTTGTGGGCAGAACTCCCACCCTTTGGTCCATGACCATGTGGAAATGTAGATCACTATAGTATTAAGATTTTTTTTTTTTTTTTTTGAAAGAGAAAGAGAGAGTGTGCGCACAAGTTGGTGGGGAGATAAAGGGAGAGAGAGAATCTTAAGTGGGCTTGATGCCCAGCCCAGAGCCTGACACCAGACTCAATTCCACAACATGGAGATTGTGATGAACAGAAATAGAGTTGGACACTTAACTGACTGAGCCACCCAGGCACCCCAAAGTGACTATATTATTAATGTAACCCCTGATACAGCTTTTTAATCCAGTAATGAGCTCTTTAATCCAGGAATGATCACACATACCACAAACCACTTATATTTGGGGCAGCGCACGCTTTGATTACCTTATGCAACCTATCTTTCACACCAAAGTACTACACCCAGAGCTGGAGATGTAAAGATAACAAGAGGTGGACCATGTGCTCCAGCGGCTTACAAATCCAGGGAGGAGATAGACATGTAAACAAAGTGTCCGAGGGGCGCCTGGGTGTCTCAGTGGGTTAAAGCCTCTGCTTTCGGCTCAGGTCATGATCCCAGGGTCCTGGATCTGGCTCTCTGCTCAGCGGGGAGCCTGCTTCCTCCTCTCTCTCTCTGCCTGCCTCTCTGCCTACTTGTGATCTGTCTGTCAAATAAATAAATAAAAGCTTTAAAAAAAAATAGTTTCTGAAACAGAGTAAAACTTCACTATGTCCTCACACTAACTCTGGGAAATTGGTGGTCTTCTCCCCATTTTATAGATGACAAAAACAAAGCCTCGGGGAAATAAAGTGACATGTCTGGAGTCACAGTGGAAGAACCAGAACTGAACCCTGTCTTCTGGGGCCTGGGGCCTCATACGGTTGCTGTTCCAGGACATTAGCCGTCACTGCCCTTGCTCTATAGTCATGCTGGAGGAAATACTCCTCCTCCTTGTGCGTGTGTGCTCAGAATGCAGGACTGGGTCCATCCCAGGCTTGCAGGTTCCCCAGCTGCAGGAGCATCGGGCACTCTGCATTCTGGGCTGTTCTCCAGAACATGTTTGACACAGACCACACGTGAACTGCGTGCCCTGGATTGATTCAAGACCATGAGTCCCTGCTTGGGGCCCAGAATTACCAAGTGATCATTTTGTCCAGTTGGCTTCCTAAAGACACAAGCACGTTTTGTCCCATTATTCAAGTCAGAGACCTGAGAACCATCTTTGATTCGTCTCTCACACCATCCGTCTAGTCTATCAGCAAAATCCTGCTGACTTCTTCAAAATACATGCTTCCAGAGCCCTAACCCTTCTCCCTAATTGCTGCAGGCCTCCGCCTGCCCTCGCCCCACCATGGCCTGTGTCCACACCACAGCCAGAGACATGCTGGAAAATTCCAAGTCCATTTATGTCCTTCCTCTGTGCAGAATCCTCCAGGGGCTCCTTACCTCCTTCAAAGCCCAGGTCCTCACACTGGCCCACCAGGCCCTTCCTGCTCTGACCCCCACAAGGTCCCCATTTCTGCTGCTCCACCAACTCACTGGGCTGCAGCCTCACCAGCTTCTTGGCTGGTTCTAAACTATTGCCTCAGGGCCTTCGCAGATGCTCTTCCCTCTACCTGGAAGACTCTTCCCCAGGTATGCACTTGACTCACTCCCTCACGTCTGTGAAAACTCTGTTCATGTGTCACCTATCAGTGAAGTCCTCCCTGACCACCTTTACAAAATGATCCCCTACTTTGTCCCTCCCCCATATCCTTCCCCTGCTTTGTTTTTTCCCCTAGATTTATCATTATCTAATTTTATATTTTAATTGTGTGGTTTTTGTCATCCATATCCACCAACTAGAATGGAAGTTCCATGAGGGCTGGGATCTGTGTCTAAATTGTTCATCAACTGCAACACCACCTGGGTGATATTAGAGCTTCAGGATCTGGTTGAGTGAATGACCACCAGGCCAGGCATCCCTAGCATCTTGGCTTGAAAAACACAACCTATGTAACCGAGCCACCTTCTCTCTTCTCCACAGCACTTAGCACACAGCCAGGCCCACAGTAGGTGTGCAGTAAACACTGGAATCAAACGCACTTAGACTTTCTTGTTCAGCATGGTGGTTCAGAGGGGGCTCTGGAGTTGGATGACCTGAGTCTTGCCCCAACTCTGTCACTTACTAGCTGCCTGACTCTGGCCAAGTTAGTTTACATCTCCTTGTCTCTGCTTCCTCTTCTGCCAGATGGATAATAACTCCTTTAACAAGGTTGCTGGGAGCATTCAGTGTGTTATACATGTAAGTCGTGCCCAATGCCCAATGGGTATTATTGTCATTTCCTCTATAAATGCCTCGATTTTCCTTATTTCTATAGGTGCTGGAAATAATCAGGGGCCAGCCACCCAGCCGAGCCTCAGGTACTATGCACACTGTGTTCAAATTTAATCCACCCTTTTAACAAATAGTGGTCCCCTGCCACATGCCAGACATGAGGTTAGACCCTGGGATGTCAGGGTGAACAAGACCCATGGAGTCCCTGCCCTTGGGGGGCGGGGGTGCTGCTGAGCTGGCGGGAAATGAGGTCCTTCCGTGTGTGTTGTAGGCATAGAGTGGACGACCACGAACAAGATGGCAATGAACTTCAGACCACCCCCGAATTCAGAGCCCACGTAGCCAAGAAACTGGGAGCCCTGCTGGACAGGTAACCAAAGATGGCCCTTCTCTTCTCCTGCATCCTTTAATACAAACAGGGATGGCTCACATCGGCTGGGAGCTCAGGGTGTGCAAACAGGTGCTGGGCAAGCATGTGGCATATGTCCCCTTGTGACATTCGTAACCAGGTCCTATCATTGTCCTTATTCTGTAGATGAGGAAACAGGCTCTCTGGGAGAAGGAGCATTTGCTTGAAGCCACAGGGTATAAGGCCCAGGCTGGGACTCAAACCCAAGTGTGTTTGGCCCTAAAGGCCACACTCTTAAGCACTGCATTATCCTGCTACCATAAAAGTCAGGGGAACGTAAGAAGCGAGAGCTCATTCTCACCACAAGAGTAGAGACAGCCAAAACTACTATTTTGGGGGTACTTTCTTTATGCCCTGTGCCGTGCTGGTTCTCTGTCTTGTATTTGAGAATATGATCTGTACAGATCCCAGTCACTGTTCCTCAGGTCAGTGCCAGGTCCAGAGCATGGCTCTCAAAAGAAGGGGTCCAACAGCAAAGAAGTCGGGAAACACTGCAATCTGTGTACCTCCTTATGCCCTTGGAGACTTAAGATTCATAATAGGATATTCAAGGCTTCGAGAATCCTGCAATCAAGAGACTTGTGTGGTTTTGCTTGGCCTGGCAGTCTCCAAACTCATCTGGCCACAGTGACTTTGTTTCAGGGAAGACTGATAAGTGTAGCATGGAACACATTTCCGGATACGCTGGTCTACATCCGTTCCTGATTGGCAGAGCCCCACCAGATTTTTGAAAGGGAGATGAAGATGTTCAGGCCATTGTCCTTCAATTTATCAAAAAGACGAATGTGTCCTCCAAAAGTATAAACCAGCTGCTCTTCTGAGACTGACAGAATGTTGGGCCAGACCTTCGCAGCCTGAGCCACTGCAGCCTCAGTACCAGTCCCCCAACTCGAGAATGTGGTGAACATGTGTAGGGAGGTCCAGTGGCATTTCAACACACGGGAGCAGTTTTTCTTCATGACCATTTGGCTTTGGGGTGAACAAGGCCTGGCTGGCATTGTGGTGATTCACGTCGGATGTTTCCCCAGGTGGAAATCACGCAGGATACAGGTCAACCACAGTCAACATGTTCCCTGTGGTGTTTCTGCGTCTCTCTGAAAAGAGACTTAAATGATACTCTAATTGGTTCCTTGTGTTAGATCAAGGTTCCTCAGCCTTGGCACTCCTGACATTTTAGACTCCTGGACTGGATCTTTCTTGCCTGTGGGGAGCCACCCTGTGCCTCATAGAGCAGTGAGCAGCATCCCTGGCCTTGACCTACTACGTCCTAATAGCATTCTCATGTCCCCTGCAGACCGACATTGAACCACTGTGTCAGATGCTTGGGTCAGAGTTAGGCACCTGGGCAGCAGCGGCTCTGTGCCTGCTCCCTGCTTTCCTGCACAGCGCTCCAAGGGATGCCTTTGGCATATAGGGAAGAAACAGTCAGGAGAATGTACCCAGTACGTTGCTGTGTTCGCCACCAAGACATTGTGTGAGCGTTGTTCTCTGCCGTGCATGGTGACCTCATCCACACTCACCAGCGTGATGCTTCCTGATCTCAGTACTTCTTCCTGCTCATCTTGATGTCAGTGACCATCTTCATCATCATCAGAGCTACCATTTACTGAGCATCTACTTGTGGCCAAGCTCTATGCTAAGTGCTTGTTATCCACGATTATTTCATCCCATGACAACTCTAAGACGTAGGGTGACTATTCACCGTGTGCAGGTAAGTAACAGAGGCTCAGAGAGATGAAGTCAGTTGCCGGAGGGGACACCACAAGAAAGCAACAAAGCCAGGATTCAAAGCCAGGTCTCTGAAGTGTAAATAGAATCAGTGGGTTGTATCAGTGTCCGTTTCCTGGTTGGAATCCTGTACTCTAGTTATGCACATGTTACCATAGGGAGGAAAGGGAAGGGTATATGGGATCTCTGTTTTAGTTCTTAACAGCTGTATGTCAACCCATGATTAACTCAAATTTTTTAAAAAAATTAAGAAAAGAAACAAAAAACAGGGCTGCCCTGCTCTAGAGGCTGACCTCTGGACCATTCTCCAGATTGGTCTTATTTCCCTTTTCATGCTTACTGCCAGGAAGCTCAAAGCAAACCATGCCCCCTCTCTTCAGCATTGTCTGTCCCTCCTGGCCTGTTTTTGCTTTGTTCTATTTGAAATTGAATTTTGTTATACTGTGGGTATCTTTAAAACTTCTTCAGCACTTTCTGGAATAAAGTGGGATTCAAACAAAGGAAGGGCTGCCATTTGCCCCGAGAGGGGGCGTTCATCATGTTACGGCTATAGGTGTTACTGCCCTTTATCAGGCCCACATGCTTGCTGCTCTAGCATTTAACATCACATTCTCCTGTCCCTTCCACTTAAAAAAAGAAAATTGTTTTAATTTTTTTTTTAATTTTTTTCCTATTACGCCAGACCTCATCCTAAATCAACCATTTCCTCCTTCCATAGTTCGATTACCATCTCAGAAGTAGTGGAGGAGCCAGCAAAGGCTAAGGTGCAGCAAGTCCCCGCAGAGGACGACGGTGAGCAGTCATACTGTTAGTGCCCGGTGTTGTTTCCTTACACACCCCCGATGTGTGTCCCGGCTGGCAAACCGTTTCCATACACTCTCTGATCCACACAGCCCTCTCTGAAACAGGCTCGTTGATGCTCTCCCTGTTTACAGGGGAAGCCATAGGGGAAGCTGAGGCTCTGAGAGATGAAGGTGTCGGAGCCTGAGCAGGGGCCTCTTACCACCACACTCCCCAGCTGCCCCTGGCTGAGTCTGTCTGTCCCGTGCCCAGCCCACTTGCCACTGTGGAAGCTTCCTGAGGCATAAGGTTCACCTGCAGGCTTCCGGTTCCTCTTAGGGCTTGCTGACCTGTTGGGGCAGCTGGCGTCCCCTGAAGCACCCTGTCCCCTGACTCCGGCAGGCGTCATGCGTGCCTCTCAACACGCAAGATATCTTTTTGTCGCCAGCCAACACTGATTCCTGGGTCTCTGCCTCTGGACTCGGAGCTCCCTGAGCGCTGGGCGGGGCAGCGTTGGCCCCTAGGAGGAGGGCCCCTGGCAGTGCTGACCCCACCCCTTTGGATTTTAGGCTTCCGCCTCTTCTTCACATCCATCCCGGGAGGCTCCGAGAAGAAAGCTGCTCCCCAGCCTGGCCGAAAGCGATTACATTCCGGCTCCAGGTGAGGTCTCATACCCTCTCCTCGTGTTCCCTCCTTTCTAACCATTGTCTGTGTTTGCCAGTCCCCTGGAATAGCCAAGCAGAATCTGATCAGATCCAGGCCAAGAAGGAGCCTGTCAGGTAGTTCGAGAAATGGTGCCATCAGGGGGAGGGGGAGGAGGTTCTGTTGGGCATTGGCTTTGGATTTTTATTGCTTCTTGGGCACCATCTACTGCCAGACACCTCACTCCTGGGGCATCCCTGTGAGGCCTGGGCTCTAGTAAGATCCCCATTTTGTAGATGAAGACACTGAGGGTCGGAGAGGTGAAGTCACTTATTGAGGTCACATAGCTGGGAAGCAGAAAAGCCAGGGATGGAACCTAGGCCAGCCTCACTCCCAGGCCGGAACTCTCTAGCCACCTCCCACTGTGACCTCTTCCCTGTGGCTGAAACGGAGGGCGGTAAGGGGCGGCTCCGGGCCCTGTGCCCACTCTCTGCCCTCCCCTTGTAGCAGTGAGGACAGCGAGGAGGAATGGCAGCGGTGCCGGGAGGCAGCTGTGTCGGCCTCCGACATCCTCCAGGAATCTGCTATCCATGGCCCTATAAGAGTGGACATAGAGGCAAAGAAAAAGAAAAAGAAGTTTAAAAAGAAAGCCAAGAAGGAGGCCAGTGCCAACTTGGACGCTGCCGCCGCCGCCGTCACAGGTGAAACTGCAGTTAGGAAGCAGGAAAAGCAGTCACCCAAGCTCAATGGAGACCAGCCATCGCTTGGGACCAAAAAGAAGAGAAGGAAGAAAAAAGCCAAGAAGACCAGTGAGGCTTCCCCATTCCCATCAACAAAGGGTACAGTGGCCACGCCTGCAAACTGACCTCGGCATACGGGCCCAAGGCTCAGCTAGCCTGGAGGACAAGGTGCCCTTTGGGGACAAGTCATTTCCAAGCCCCACCTCCCTTTCCAAGTTCAAGGACTTGGCTAGGAAGTCCATACCTGGCCCATGATTGGGGCTTGCCCAAGGGTGGGGACAAAGACAACTGTAGAGTGAGAAGCCTAATTAAGGCCTGCCCATCGGTGCTCCCCCTGGGGGCTGGGGCAGACCTGTGGTACCAGAACATTCCATGGCCTCAGGAAAAAGGAGCCATCCACCTATTCAAGACTGTTGACCAGGTGGTAAAGCTTGTCTTCCCTGTACTGTCTGAGGAGAGTGAGTGAAGGGAGAGCTTTTCCTTTCCTTCCACCTTCTCAACCTGGTGTGGCAGAAAACCATAAGAAACTGAGGGAAGGGCGGCTCGGCCCAGAAGTAGTTTTTTCTGCCTCCAGGCCACACAGACTTTATACAACATTGTCTGAGAGATTTTCTCCCCCACTAGGTTTCCAGAATTTTTTTCCTCCACGTTTGTGAATGTACCATGCACGATCATGTGTCGAGCCAACCAGATTATTGAAAATAAATTGTTGAGAGACCCCAAACTTAACAAAATAGTCGGGGTTCTGCCTCTGTATCGATGCTGAATCTTGATGAGACAGTTTCAATAAACATCACTCAGGTGGAATCCTCCTGCCTACACGTTCCTGCACCCCAGCCTCAAGACTTCGGGAAGTATCACAGTGCTCGAAAGCGGGATTTCACACACCAGGAGTGTTCCACAGGGAAGAGGAGAAGCTCAGGGTTAAGGTGACATTCTGGCTTCCTGGCCTTGCCTTCAAGCTTCCCCAGAGCGAGACAGAGGTGTGACATGAGAGTGTGTGCGCTGACCCATCTCCCCTCAGGCCCCTGGCCCACCTCCACCTCCCTCTGCCCGCCCAACCCCATCTGGGCAATGTGTGGACAAGCAAGAAATTTCCAGTACTCATTTCCTGTACTCCGTGCCTCATTTCCTTTACTAAAAGTTAAATAAATGTACAGGTTCGCCCTTAGCTAGCTGCAAGCTGCAGGGGGCGCTGGTTCTTCCCCGGCCCTGTCCTCAGTCCCAGGGTGGGAGTGGTCTGCAAGGCCCGGTGAGGTGTGGCAGCCCCAGGGGGAGGAGGTCATGGGGCGCTGGGTTTACACAGCTGCCTTGCCTCTCCTGGCGGCACTCGGGGACCTCAGGCTCCTGGGTGTGGCTGTGAACTGCCTAGACCTTCCCCTCCTCCCTCTGGGCACCTCAGCTCTGCCATGTGCTCAGGCCTTGGTGCCCTCTGAGCTTAGCGGCTTCTCCCCCAAACCAGGGAGGTGCTGCAGGGCCCCACAGGCCAGAAGCACTGCTGCCCAGAATCCTGACAGAACCAGACGCAATCGCAAGGCTCCCATGGGGCAGGGATGACTTCCTAACCCTGAGGGGGACTTTCCCATAGAGGCAAGATGCCAGGCTGGCATTAGAAGGTGTGATACCCAAGGGAAAGAACAGCCAAGAAAACTGGCCATCTTGGAGACCAGGGAGAGGGATGGTCCAGGACAAGAGAAGCTGGAGAGCTGTGCATGCGGTCACTGCTAGCTTGAGCTCTCCCGGCGGTGGGCATCAGAGTAGCCACTTGGGGAAAGCTCACGTCATTGGGGGACAGGGTTGGTACAAATGGGCATGTGAGCCTACAGCTGGAAGGGGAGCAGGGTGAGGGGACTGATTGGGACACAGAGGACAGAGTGGGGCCACATTGACCCTGAGCTTCTCGGAGCTCAGTGAGTCACAGCTGCACAGCCTCGTGTCCTGAGAAGTGTGGTTCCCTTGGGAGTTCCAGGGCTCTCCACGGGTACAGGCTGGGAGCACCAGAGTCCAAAGGCTGCTCCCTTCTGTTCCAAGTGACAGATTTGACCCTGAGAATCAGGAACAGTCCCTCCTATGTCTTGCTCTGCTTCCCAGCTCTCCACAGCCCCCTCTTGTGGACAGAATTAGCCCTCCTGGGGTCAGGGAACCCTGGAACCCCTTCTGACGCTGACAGAGCAGAATAGGGACCAAGGCACAATTTTCCAGGGCAGACTGCTGTCCTGTGGCAGTGACAGTTTCACAGGCACAGATGTCCCAGTCACCCCCCAAGCAGGCCATGCAGGCTCCAGGCAGGGCCCAGCCCCTGGGAGGCGGTCGCCATGGTTACTGGGAGGATGAAGCCATCTGCGTGGAAATGAAGGTCTCGATGACACTGTGGTTGGATGGCAGCAGGTGGCTGTGGCCATTGTTGGAGTCGGAGCTCTGGTACAGCACCAGGCTGCTGGAGGACACTGCAGGGGCAAGTGAGACAGCTGGCTGCCGGCCAAGCCCTTCCTGAACCCAGCTCGCCCACCCATTCCCCATCCCAAGGGGCACTTGGCACAGAGGACACAAGGCCTCACCACCTCCCAAACTGCCGCAGATAACTAGACCCCAAAACCAAACCTCTGTGCTTGGGTCTCATCAACCCCCCCAGCCAGGCTCTGGGGCCCCCCAGGGAGTGGCCACCTAAGAACATTTTAGCAGAAACATTTGAGAAGCCCTGGTGAGATGGTGTGGTTAGTTGCTAGGCTACAGTACAGTCACTGAGCCAAACATTGAAGTGTTGCAGTGGTGATGTTTTGTAACTGTGGCTAACACCTATAATCCATTGCGTGGAAGTGACGGAGATTTCTCTTGATGACTTGAGTGGGTCTCATCTAATCAGTTGAAAGCTTTAGGAGCCAAAGCTGAGGTTTCCTAGAGAAAAAGGAATCCTGCCTCAAGACTGCAGCCCGGACTCCTGTCTCTTGCCAGCCTGCTGGACCTGCCCTACAGCTTTCCGACTGCCAGCCCCACAGGCATGTGAACTAGTTCCTTAAATATACGTGTACATATGTCGTTGACCCTCAAATAGTGCGGGGGGAGCTAGGGCCACTGACCCCCTGCACAGTCATAGATGTGCAACTAACTTTTGACTTCCCAAAAACTGAATTACTGACAGCCAACTGTTGACCCAGAACTATACCAATAACCTGAACCATCAGCACATATGCTGTAGATATTATATACTGTATTCTTATATACGTATTCTTACAACAAAGTAAACTAGAGAAAAGAAAAAGTTATCAAGAACATCATAAGGAAGAGAAAGGACATTTACCGTCCTGTGCTATATTGAAAAAAACTGGCGTATAAGTGGACCCGTGCTTTTCAAACCCCAGGTCATTCAGGGCCCAGCTGTATTCCTGTTGGTTCTGTGTCTCACCAGAACCCTGATTGACTCCGATGGCTAAGAGAATAGGCTTTGATTTTGGACCCGGATGCAAATCCTGGCCCTGCCACCTAGGCAGTGTCAGAGGCAAGGCCAAGTCCTTCACCTCCTGAGCGTCTGCTTCTCATTTGTAAAATGGGGATGACGACTTATGCCTGGTGGATAAAGCATGGAGCCTGGCCCATGGAGCCCTGAGTACCTGTCAGTGCAGCCACGAGGGCTGGATGGGGGAACCTGAGGCCCCCAGAGGGGGAGCAGCTGCCCACAGTCACACACTTAGCAAGTGATGACCCATGGCCCCAGAGCCCAGCAGCCTGACTCCCAAGTGCCCACTGTTCGTTATTGCAGACGTCAGGCATCGGGGATGGAAGTGAATGGGTCAAGGGGGATATGACGACCTGGAGAGCCCACACTCTGTCGTTGCTATGTGGGAACACGGAGTCTCCCAATTTTCCAAGAAAAGCCAGAAACCATGATTTCTTTGTGAAAGCTAATTTTTAAAAAGTGGGCAACATTCTCAAACAGTGCCAAGCCCTGAGCCCAACCAGCACGCCCATGAGCTGCTTCTGGTCCACGGCACGCCCTTAGTACCCTCTACTGTCTCTTGCGATTACTTAATCTCTTTCCTCAACTGAGTCAGTGTGATAGTCACGTAAGATACACCCATTTTCCTGTGGTTTCGTACCCCTCTTGGCTCACTTCGGGGGAGCACAGGGTGCCCCCCCCTTTGCTGCACACACCTTCCTCCCCAGCCGAGGGAGCAGGGAAAGGCTGCTCACCGGTGGGGCTGGCACTGAGCCGGTGGGCTGGCTGCAGGTGCTGGATGCCGGCGGGGTCCTGGCTGGGGATGTGGATGGTGGTGGTCTGAGACGCTGGCGTATGCAGCCCGGACTCACTGGAGGCCTCGGTGTCCGAGGCGAAGACCTGGGGGAACACAGCAGCCTCCTGAGCCCCACAGAGGTGCCCTCTGGGAGGGGCCTGAGCAAGGGTCCAGGAGGGCCTGGGCCTTACCTGCTTGGTGGGTGTGAGGCTGGCCAGGGCGCTCAGGTTGGTGGTGTCGGTGATGAGCATGGTCTGCGGAAGCAGGCCCGTATGGGTGTACTGGGCCACCTCAGGCTTGTGGCTGTAGAGTGCTGGCCAGGAGGGAGGAGAGAGAGGAGGATAAAGACACAGCACCCTGGGCCACACTGGACCCCTCTGAAGGGGGCCTCAAAGCTGGGAGCTCTGGGGGAAGTGGGGCATGGGGCCTGGTAAATGGCCCAGTGGAGCAGTGGTTAAGGACTCAGGACAGATTTCCAAAACTGACGGGCTAGACCCTTTCCCCAACTATAAGACCCTGCAGAGACTGGCTTGGTGGAAGGCCGGGGAGGCCCAGAACCCTCAACCCACACCCACTACCCAGGGACGACAAGTGTGAAGGGCAGCGGGAGGCACAGTGTAGCTGTACTAAGTACAGGCCGTGGCAGGGAAGATTGGTAGCCCCCTTAGGGGGTCAGCAGAGCTGGGGGGCAGCATCACTCTACCTCCAGGACACCTCTCCAAAATGTAACCCAGAGTTCCACCTATAGCCCGGCCCCATGACAACGCAAACAGACACCAGCAGAAAAGCACCTGAACTGCATATTCTCACATTGACTCAGATGAAACCATACACACACGAGTATGGGCCTTCAACCAAACCCACACAGAGACACAGGCCCACAGGCCCTTATCCTCAGTTCCAAATTCCAGAAAGTTCTGAAAACCAATAGGTTTTTGTAAAGCTGTCAGTTGAGCTCATCTGGTGGCAAACTCTGACCCAAACCCAACGGGAGGTTCTGTAAGTCTTTGTGAACCCGCTCGTGGCTTTCTCCCTTCTGCAGAAGTCACAGGGCTTAGATGACAGGACACTGCCCCGAGGCCTCCCGGGAGTGTGGTGGTATGTATGGTGGACACCCCGTGTCTCCTCTCTAAAGTCGGGGAAGTACTGAGTTCTGAGATACACGGGGCCCTGCGCGTTTCAGAGAGAGGATCAGACCTTCCTCCCACACGTGGGTGTGCACCCACAAACACCGATGGACACCCACATGCACACCCACTCACAGAAACTCGTGTGCACACACGACCACGCACATTCACACCCCGACACACATTCAGGCCCCCAGACACGCATCTGAGCCCCTGCAGACCGCCTCGTCACCAAAACACAGGCCGAAGCATGTGCCCCCAACACACACACACACGCACACGCTGCTAAGCCACCCTGTCGCCTCATCTGCTCGTAGACACCTGGCCTCTCCCACCCCTTCCCCTAGCGTGGGGCTTGGGGTGCTTACCGTGGGGGCTCTGCAGCTGGGCCATAGTGGCCATGAAGGGGCTCTGGGCCACATGGCTCTGCATGGGGGGCATGAGTGGCTGCTGGTAGGAAGGGTGCAGCGGCTGGGAGAACTGGACGGGCTGCAGGGTGGTTAGGCTGCTGCCCATGCTGTTGATGACTGGTACACTCTGTGCCTGAGTGGAGGCCAGGCCTGCAGTGGGAGGAACAGGAGTCAGCCTGGCCTCCTACTGCCTCCATTGCCTTCACTGCCTCCACTGCCTCCACTGGCCCAGCACTGACCCCCGGACACTGTCCCTCCCTCCCAGAGTCGGTGGGGCGGGGGAGGTAGGGGAAAGGCGACCAGGAGACACCTTTGCACTAGGACCTGGCGCTAACTTACATGGTCTTAGCAAACCACTCCCCCTCTCTGAGCCTCTAATTCATTTTATGGGCAGTGGGTGTGTCCAGTTAGGTTCCCTGGAGACCCGGGGTTCCACAGCAGTGCATAGGCCCTGCGGCTTAACTCTGTCCCCACTCCCGGTAGCTCCTATCTGTCAAATATATTCAGCCTCTGTATAATGGTGCTTGCAAAGAAAGTCTGGGCTTAAGAAAACTAAACAAACAAACAAAAAACACCCAAAAACCTACAAGATTTTGATCTCCTTTTCCGTGCCCGGTTTTCCCATAGACATTTTGCCTTCTGAGACACTATATAATGTCTGTACTGTGTGTGCTGTCTGCCTCCCCACCCGGAGTCATTGAGATTTTGGTCTGTTTGGCTCCCTTGTGTGTCACTGAGGTGGCATTGTGCCTGGCACAGCGCATGCACTCAGTAAGTCTATGAATGAATGAATGAGTCCCAGTGGCTCCTCTGGCTTCTGGATCCTGTGGGGTCCCTGTGAGCCCTCCCACCCGGGTGCCCCATGCCCACCAACTTACCAATAACCAGGGTGGAGGCACCTGTGTTGGTGAACGTGGGGGCCAGGGAGGCAGGCTCACCAGGCCCAATGGCCATGACCCCAGGAAGTGATGCCATGATGAGATTCTGGGGCTGTTGGTTGAGGCCTGGGGAGGTCTGCTCCAAGCTGTGCAGGGCTGTCAGGGTGCTGACAGGGGGCAGGGGGCCCCCAGTTGCTGAGACCTTAGAGAGGAAACCAAGCTGAGCCTGGGTGAGGCCCCACACTGTCTCCCTGGGGACCACTCCAGAATCTCCCAGCCAAGGGAAGGTGGAAGATGGGTCTGGACGGGTCTTCCTCCCCTGTGGGGTGTGGGGACACTCACCAGCTTGGCATCGGTGCTCAGCAGGCTGTGGCTGGGCTCCAGGCCCGTGGGGGACACGTGGTGCAGGGAAGCAGACACTGTCACCAAGGGACCACCGCTGCTTGAGGGCACTTCCGCCCCCTCGCTGGTTGCTGGCTGTCCATAGCGCACACCTGGAACGGGAGCCGAGGCCAGCATCAGCACCCCACCTCCCTGCCCTCCGTGGCCCTCATCGCTCCAAACTGTCCTAGTTAGCTCACTCGCCCCATCTTTCTATGTGTGGCCAACAAACCTCACTTGAACGTCCCCCTGCCAGGTCCTGGGCTGGCTGCTTCCAACTCCCTGAAGGCAAGACCTGCATCTCACTAGCTCTATGGCCCCCGTGGGCCGGAGCTATGCGTGATAGGCAGTAGGTGTGCAATGAAAGACATTTGGGTCAAAATGAATGGAAACTGATGAACTGAAACTGCGGTGAACGGAGTTTAATAGAAGGAACCGGAATTAGTTCAATGAACTGGAATCTGGTTGAATTGAACCCAAAATGAATTGAAGTAGATTGAGCATATTGGAGTTGAACCAAACCAGATCAAATCAAATTGGATTGAACTGAACTGAGTTGTACAAAATTAACTTAATTTCCTTGGATTATATTTAGCTGGACGGAGCGGAATGGAAGGGAACTCAGTTGGATTATAGTGAGTTGAATAGAACGGAATTGAATCGAATTGAACTGAACTGAAAGGAATTGAGTAGAGTTGATCATAAATAAATGACCTGAATGAAAGTGCCCCGAGTCAAGTTCGGCCAGATCGAATGGCATGGCGTGGTCACTGGGGTGAAGAGGAGGGGACCAGATAGAGGATGGAGGAAGGTAACGAGTAGAGGGGGGTGATAAGGAACCAAGTGGAAGTGCAAAGGGGTTTGGGTGGTTATTGCTGCTGGTGTGGTGCTCCCTAGCTCACCAGCCTGCCATCTGTCCCCTCTACCCACCATTTCATCCCCGGCACACAAAGCACTCACCGTGGACCTTACTGGGGGAGAGGGCAGGTGGGGGCAAGCCTGGGGAGCTGTGGGCAGGCAGTGTGGGGCCCGGGCCTGGCCCTGGGGGCGGCCCACTGTATGTGTCCATGGCCAGCTTGTGACGGAAAGCTTCTTCCTTGCGCCGATTGGCAAACCAGTTGTAGACACGCACCTCCGTGACGAGGTTGGAGCCCAGTCCCTGGGCCTGCGACGGGGACACCCCCCTCTGGATGCACTCCGCCCTGCAGAAAAGGCCACTCATGAGCCTCCAGGCCAGGCTCAAAGGAACCCTCCCCAGGAGCTGGAGGTAGGGGAGAGAGTCCCAAGACGTAGGCTTCTCCCTTAGTATTGAGAGCTGGCAGATCTGGGTTCTCATCCCAGTGCTATTGTGTGACCCTGAGCAAGGGTCTTAACCTCTCTTAGTATCTCCATTCATAAGTGAGCAAAATAGCCATAGGGTCATAATGAGGGTGAATGAAATGAGCAGCCCCTCAAGGACTGCCGGGATGGGTGGGGAGTGGGTGCTAGGAATGGAGCTAGGTTCCAGATACTAAGTGGGATCTGAGTGCTCCTGGGCCAACAGCAAGAGCGCTCAAGGACTAGGGAGCCTCAGAACCCAGAACCACTCTCCCCCAGCCTCTCCCCCGCCCTGCCGCAGCCCAAACCGACCCAGCCCTGCCAACCCACCAGACATCCTACCTGTTGCACTCCTCCACCAATGCCTCTCTCTCCTCCTTGCTGGGGTTCTTCTGCCTCTCGTAAGCCTGGAACAGGATCTGCTGGGAGGCCGGGCCCCACTTGAAACGGTTCCTCCGCCCCTTCTTGGTTGGCAGCTCGTCACCTGTGGGCTCTTCAATCAGCCCACCCTGCCCTGCGTGGGTGAACTCTGTAGGCAAACACACAGCCGTAAGCAGGGCGCTGGCCGCTCCCACCTGGCCACCTCAATTCCTCCAACCAGGCTTCTGATTCTTTCTCATTCCCAAGGTCTTGAGCCAACGGGGCTTACAGCTAGAACGTAGAAATCCAATCCAGTGATAACAAATAGCACGTGTGCCACCTGTCTCAACCCGTGCCCCAGGCAGACATCGCTAATCAACCCCTGCACAGTTTTCTACTGTGCCCAGATGGAAGCTTGTGATCCTTCTCAATACAAGGCCAGGAAAGCATTGGTATTTGTTCAGATTTAACACATTTGCTCTCTTATTTTACAGACGAAGAAGCTGAGCTCAGAGAGGCTGAATTTCTTTCCAGGGCTGCACAGTAGAACAGAAACTTGAAACACATCTCTTGAGTAGATTCAGAGCTATTTTAAACTCCTCAGATCTGGAAATCACACTTAACATGCAAGTGTTAGCCAGGAGAGCGGAGACCCAGCCAGCCCTCATCAGCTGGTTCCACCTTAATGGAAACGCTTAGATTCTCCCTGAGCAAGGAACCGAGAGACTAGAATGGATAAATGCAAAGCCATCTTTGGGGGACGGGAGGCAGGGAGAGTGAGTCAGGGAGAGCAGACCCTGTGCCTTCACCATCCAAGTGGATGGGACCCTGAACCAGGAGAAGGACATTAGGGCACAGCTGAGGCACTCTGAACAATAAAGTAAGTACGGACTTAACGATAGTGTGACAGTGCTGGTTTGTTAATCGTCCCAAATGTCCCCTACTCGTGTTAATAATAGGGAAAACTGGGACTGGGGTAAACTAGATTCCTCTGTACTACCTGCCCAGAAGGTCTACACTTGTCCTAAATTAAGAGTTTGTTATGTGTGGGGGCCTGGGTGGCTCAGTCGTTAAGCATCTGTCTGCCTTTGGCTCAGGTCATGATCCCGGGGTCCTGGGTTCAAGCCCTGCATCAGGTTCCCTGCTAGGTGGGAAGCCTGCTTCTCCCTCTCCCACTCCCCCTGCCTGTGTTCCCTCTCTCGCTGTGTCTCTATCAAATAAATAAATAAAATCTTTAAAAAAAAAAAAAAAGTTTGTTATGTTATTTAAGTTTTACCTGCTAAGAAGGGTAAATTAAAGCCATGCTAGTTTTCTAAAAACACTTAGTGATAATGCCTTCAAAATACATCATATACAATTCCAGCCACCTGAGACCCAAAGGATGCCCCTGTTGGGTACAGGTGGCAGGAACACTGGGTCCTAGGGCATCGGTATGTGTTGCTATTTCTTTTTTTTTTTTTAAAGATTTTATTATTTGACAGAGAGAGATACATTGAGCGAGAGAGGGAACACAAGCAGGGGGAGTGGGAGAGGAAGAAGCAGGCTTCCCACTGAGCAGAGAGCCCGATGTGGGGCTTGATCCCAGGACCCTGGGATCATGACCTGAGCTGAAGGCAGACGCTTAACAAGTGAGCCACCCAGGTGCCCCTGTGTTGCTATTTCTGCACGAATAAGCAATCAGTGATCATTTTTGTAAGGAAATATTAAAATTTTACCATAGTGGTTGCTCAGTAAATGTTCAATAACCTAATGTAAAGTAACCTAATGTTACCTAACCTAATTAACCTAACTTTTTGGTATTTTCAGTTTAAGATTTTATTCATTTATTTATTTTAGAGAGAGAGGGAGAGAGCATGTGCAAGCAGGGGGAGGGGCACGGGGAAATCCCAAGCAGACTTCTCACTGGGGCTTGATCCCAGGACCCTGAGATCAGGACCTGAGCTGAAAACATGAGTCGGACACTTAACCGACTGATCCACCCTGGCACCCCAATTAACTTAATGTTTTAATCAGCCCCTTAATAAAACCAATATCCTAGTTTGGGGGGGAGGTTGGGCAGAGGGAGAAAGAAAGGATGTTAAGTAGGTCCCACACCCAGTGCGGAGCCCGACAAGGGGCTCAGTCTCGTGACCTCTAGATCATGACCTGAGCCGAAGTCAAGAGTCAGACGCTTAACCGCCTGAACCACCCAGGTGCCCCTACCAATATCATCGTTTTAAAAAATAAGTTATATAAATGATCATCACAGCTTTTAAATTTAAAAAGTTGTGGGGTTTTTTGGTTCAACAAAAATGGTAAAAAGTAGATACTCTATATAAACTGAGGTGGGACACCTGGCTGGCTCGATCAGTGGAATGTGAGTTCGAGCCCCATGTTGGGTATGGAGAGGACTTAAAAATAAAATCTTTTAAAAAGGATAAATAAGGGGCACCAGGGTGGCTCAGTGGGTTAAAGCCTCTGCCTTCTGCTCAGGTCATGATCCCAGAGTCCTGGGATTGAGCCTTGCATCGGGCTCTCTGCTCAGCAGGGAGCTCCCACCCTGCTCTGCTTCCTCCTCTCTCTCTGCCTGCCTCTCTGTCTACTTGTGATCTCTGTCTGTCAAATAAATAAATAAAATCTTTTTTAAAAAATATTTTTTAGGGGCGCCTGGGTAGCTCAGTGGGTTAAGCCGCTGCCTTCAGCTCGGGTCATGATCTCGGGGTTCTGGGATTGAGCCCCGAATCGGGCTCTCTGCTCAGCGGGGAGCCTGCTTCCTCCTCTCTCTCTGCCTGCTTGTGGTCTCTGTCCGTCAAATAAATAAATAAAGTCTTTAAAAAAAATATTTTTTAAAGGATAAACAAATAAATAAATATTAAATAAGGTATAGCTTCCTCTCTCTCTCTTAAGCTCACCTGCTCTCCTATCTTGAGAATGTACTTTTCACTTTAATAAACTTTCCAGCTTGAAAAAACAACTTATCACCTCGTAAAAAATAGATAAATAAGTAAATAAATAAGTGAACATTAAATGAGTGAGCACATCAATACATGAATTTGAGGACTTTAACATTTTAATAAATGTTTAGGAAGCATGGGAGCAAATAGTTGATTTTTTTAATTACCATACATGCAAATTGTCACCATGTCTTCATAAGGAGCTACGGGAATATCTATCAAAGATTTTCAAGTACATACTCCCTGACCCAGAATCCCACTCCTAGGATTTACTTTACAGACAGAGTCTTGTGTGAGTACGTCTTCTTTGAAGCAGTTGGTTATAGCAGCACATTGGAAAAACCCTAAAAGTCTAAAAGTCTTTGGTAGGGAGCCAGTTAAACAAGTAACAGTGTCTCCAAATAACAGTAGCCAGCAGCTCTTCAAAGAGCACGGGGCGGGGGGGGGGGCGGGGGGGGCACCTGGGTGGCTCAGTGGGTTAAAGCCTCTGCCTTCGGCTCAGGTCATGATCTCAGGGTCCTGGGATCGAGCCCCGCATTGGGCTCTCTGCTCTGTGAGGAGCCTGCTTCCCTCTCTCTCTGCCTGCCTCTCTGCCTACTTGTGATCTCTCTCTGTCAAGTAAATAAATAAAATCTTTAAAAAAGAAAAAAAAAAGAGCACAGGGGAAAAAAAAGAAAAATATATATGCATGTATGTATATATTATATATTATTATATATTATATATTGTGTAGATATGCATAAAATATCTCTGGAAGGATGCATGAGACCAGGAATGTCCACTAGGAGGACACCTAATTTTTATTGTAAACTCTTTATTTTCCCCTATTTTTTTAAACTAATATGTAGTACCTTTTTTAAAAAAAGGTGGGTAATTAATAAAAGAAATTAAAAAAAAATTTTTTTTAGGGACACCTGGGTGGCTCAGTTGGTTAAGCATCTGCCTTCAGCTCAGGTCATGATCCCAGGGTCTTGGGATCGAGTCCCACATTGGCTCTCTGCTCTTTGGGGAGCCTGCTTCTCCCTCTCCCTCTGCCTGCCACTCTCCTTGCTTGTGCGCTCACTCTCTCTCTCTCTCTCTCTCTCTCTGACAAATAAATAAGTAAAATCTTTTAAAAAAAATTTTTTTACACATAGGCTCAAAAGTGTGAGTGCACTTGGGATTTTGTGGGGTGTGATGTCTGAGTAAGGAAATGCAGCATTCCCCGAACAACAGTGGGGCCCATCTCCCAGGGATTGCAGGGAAAGATTCCCTGAGCATACACCTTGTCTCTGAGCCTTTACTCGGGCCACTTCTTCTGCCCAAAACACCCTTCCCTGTGTCTCCGCGGGCCAACATCCCACTCAGACTTCAAGACTTAGTCTGAAAGTTCTCCTTCTGGTGCGGTCCTTCCTGATGCCCTTGCCTCCCTGTGGAAGAACAGATTAGTCTCTGGTCCTCTGTCAGCTTAATATCTTGAAAAGCTTTATGTAGTACTGTGCCCCCTGGGCCTGGCGTATGGTGATCGCTCCATAAACCCTCGCTGTTACTGTTGTTTTTATCATATTGTGAAACATGTCTCGTTGCATCGTAACGATCTATTCTACACAGAGCTCCTAGAAGGCAGGGACCCAATTCATCCATCCTCAGATGCCCGGGACCAGCCTACCCCCTCCCCCAGAGCGCCTTGTGCAGAACAAGTCATATGTGTCCATTGAATCCTGCTGACTTCTTCTCAGCTGCCCAGTCCCAGTAACACAGGGGAGAAGCTCCCGGCCCCCACCCCTGAGCGGCAAAGAGTCCCGGGCCCTGCCAGGGAGGACAGGGCTGTGCTCGTTACTTACGCTGGGCCACCTCTCGCTGCTTGCGGACGTACCAGGTGTACAAGGCGGCTCGCTTCTGCGTCTTCATGGGGGTGCCCTTGTTCAGGTGCTGGGACAGGTGTGACTGGTTGAGGCCAGTGGTGTCGACCACCTCCCTCTGTGGGATGTTGTGCTGCTGCAGGTAGGACTTGACCATCTTGGCCACGCGCCACGGGTCCTCCCTAGGAGGAGGACAACGACAGAGCCTGCTCAGTATGGGGGTGCAGGGCATGCAGGCAGGGCTGGGGGTTCTGTCAGCCCTGAGAGTGGGGATTGTGGACGGAAGCAGGTGTGGAGCCCCAGACCTACACTCAGACTCTAGGACAGCAAGGTAAGGGCACTCATGCCGGGTCATGGGGACAGAGTTGGAGATACGAACAGACTCCCGCCAGAAGCTGTACAGGCCAGAGAGGGAAGACCCTCACCTTTTTGCCTCCTTTAAAGATCCTCCCCCCATCCTACCTAGAAATGTTATTTGTGGTTATGTCTTATCCACTGTGAGAGAGCTGTACACACTGTGAGGGCAGGAGCCGTCCGATTCTCAGCCCCCAAACGAGGCCTGGCAGAATGTTTGCCCGCAGTGAATGCAGGAGTGAATGAAGCACCCTTCATTCATGGAGGTCGGGTAAATGGGATGGCGGGGGATGAATGAACCGGAGGGTAGATGGGTAGGTTATTAGGGGGATGGATGTATGGATGGTTGAAGGAGACCTCCTGGGGAAAAAAATGGGTCTGAAAACAAGGAGAGAAACATGATTCTCTCACTTTATAGCTAGGGCCACTGAGGCTAAGAGTGCTTGTGTTGTATCTTTTGCCCAAGGTCACAGAGCCAGCCCAGCAGAGTCCCCTCCCACCTGAAGGGATTCTGTTCTAAATCAGCCTATCAGGTAAAAATCACAGAAAGTCTTATCTTAAAAAGATGCATTGCAGGGCGCCTGGGTGGCTCAGTGGGTTGAGCCTCTGCCTTCGGCTCGGGTTATAATCCCAGGGTCCTGGGCTCAAACCTCACATCAGGCTCTCTGCTCACCGGGGAGCCTGTTTGCTCCTTTCTCTCTGCCTGCCTCTCTGCCTACTTGTGATCTCTCTCTCTCTGTCAAATAAATAAACAAAATCTTTCAAAACAAAACAAACAACAACAACAAAAAAACCCACCTTCTGATAATCTATACTAAAACCTAGACTGTGCCCTGGCCAGTTTCCCTACACATGGTGGGGGCCGAGGGGGGGCAGTTCCTGATGAAGGAGTTACAGATTGGTATTCAGAGCCTCCCTGCAAAAAATACATATATTGTGTGTGTTTGAGCCCCTGGATCTCACTCTGTGGGCTAAGACTCTCTCACCAAGAGACTAAAGGGACCTGCAACCATCCATGATTCCTGTTCCCGTCTGTTGCCCCCTGTGGGGAGTGGGGATAGGGTGTCTGATTCCCTCTGTCTGCTGTTCCGTCCCAACCCTCCTCTCCAGAGCTTGTGTTACAAATACGGAGGCAAAGAAAAAGAGCTGAGTGCAGCAGTGCTGGAAATGGGCAGAGCTGGGGTTTGGCCCCAGCTCTGTGTAGCTCCAAAGCCTGAGGCTCTCTTCCCTTTGACTGAGCACTTTGCCTCTAAGAATTTGAGCTTTCCAACATCTGCACGTGTGACGAGTAGCCCGTGTAGGGGGCCGCTCTTTGCTGTGTTGCTTGCCACAGCAAAATAGTGGAAATGAGCTGAGTGTGCGGCAGAAAGGGTACTGCTGGCGGTGCTTCAAGTGGATGCTCCCATAAACACGCCCTGAGGAAGCCCTGCTGGCCCCCCCAAGATGGGACAGAGTCTGGCTCTGCTATGCTGTTGCTGTAAAATCTGAAATGGCACAAAGGAGTCTGGCATGTTTCCTTGGGTCTGCGTGACATCCCAGAACACAGAAGAGACTAGCGACATCGATTGACTCCAAACGGGAATGGGGTGCTGGGGACAGGGGCAGAGGGACCGTGTCCTCTGCTGCTTTTCTGTGCTTTTCAAATAATGTAATATAATGTTAGACAATAGGCGATACATGCATATAGAACATTTAAAACTCAACTGCGAAAAAAACAGAAAGCAAACAAACCCCCAGTACTCTGAAGCCCACCCCTTACCGCCTTCTCCTCTTCTCTCCGTCCCAAGCTCTCAGCCTCACCTGGCCTCCTTGACACTACCCTTCTTGGGTGGGAGAGCCCAGAGCCTTTCAGCAGCCCTGCCCTGTGACTCCCTCTTTTTTTATCAGTAGTTCCCATACACGTGGGTAGTAAAGGGAGAGAGGGAGGGTCGGATCTGAATTGGTCAGCGATCGTACGGCAAAATCCCAGTTGTGTAGAAATGATAGATGTGAGAATCCTTGTTTCTTGAGTATTTCCCATGAACCAGGCATTGTGCTAAGGGCTGGTCATGTAAATCTTACCATAACCCTGCGAGGTAGGGACTACTTGTGTGCCTGTTTCATAGATGGGAAAACTAAGCCTCAGAAAGGCGAGCACTTGTCCAAAGTGACCTAGCTGGGACTCCAGAATCTTTTGCTTTGCCCAGATCCACCCCCACACCTCTCTCTGAGCTCTTCTTCCTCCCTGCATTCAGGGGCTCCTAGGATCCTCTTTCTCCACCCCTCCCCTGCTCCCCGGGTGCCAGTCAGAGCCTGGAGGGAAGGGCAGTACAAAGTCCAGCCTTTGCTTCCAGGCAAACATGTTTATCTGATTCTGGAGCCCAACTGACTGCGGGATGGCCTCCCTCCTCCCCCTAGCCCCAGGCATCACCCTCCTGAGCAACCCTCCCTCCCTCCCCTCCCCCTTCCCCCTAGAGAGAGAATGAGCTCAGTCTCCCTCTCAGCCAGGCCTCCCTGGCTCGAACTGAAGACTTACTGTCTCATCACTGTCCGTTTGACACCGTGTGTGTGTGTGTGTGTGTGTGTGTGTGTGTGTGTCCTACTTTTTCTCTGCCTGGCTCTCTCCCTCTCTGTCTCTCCTGTCTGTGTGTATATCTCTGCTGTTCGCTCTGTCCCTTCCTCCCACCCACTCCCCACCACACACACTCACTCAGTCAGTCACCCTCAGTCTCCAGACACCTGACTTTCCAGGACAGTTGCCCCAACCCAGAACTAACAGGCCACATCTCCAGGTAGCCCTGCTTTCCCTCTAATGGGTCTAAGAGTCTAGCCAACCTGGCTTCCCATCCCAGCATGGCGCCCTAGCATGTCCTGCATGTGTGCCCTGCACACTCACGGTGCCCGTGGGAGGACCGACTGAGTTTCAGATAGGAGTGAACCACATAGAGCAGGGCCTGGGACATAGTAAGTGCTCAGTAAAAAAAAAAAACAATTTGTCACCACCATCACCATCACGGATGATGTGGCCATGGGACCCCCAGCCCTGCCGCAGAGGGAAGAGGGCCCAGAAGAGGTAAAGATTGGCCCACATCTCCTCTTCCCACCTCCTATGGGTTCTGGGAGGGGTCAGGCAGAGTTTCAAGACTCTTGGCCTTTGGCTTGCTGGCCCCTGGGGTTTCAGAGGGTCCAAGGCTATGGAGCTCGGAGACCAGCCAGAAGGGCCACACGTCTGGAGGGACAGTGGACTTCTCAGTGCTTGGAGGGGGGTGGTGCAGAGAAGCTTCCCATCTCGGGTTGAATTGGAGCTCTGCCACTCACTATCCATGCAGTTAGGACCTTGGCAAATTGCTTCACCTCTGTGTGCCTCAGTTTCCCCAACTGTGATACAGGGCTAAAAAAATTTCATAGGTTGCCAGGAGGAGAAAACAAGTTTAGCACATTTGTAAGCAGTCCCATGAGCTCTAGAGCACAGTGTGGAAGGGAGTGAATGTGAGGTTAACAGGAGAATGACTCCAGAGGATAAAAAGGGGAATAAACCTATCAAGGATGGCAGGCAGCCTCAAGGATGCTGCAGAGTGTGGGACTAAGAGGACCCGGGTCCAAGTCCCCGCCTTACCACTTTGTAAATTACCTTGGGCAAGTCACTTTGCCTCTCTAAGCCTTAGTTTGCTTATCTGCAAAATGGGACTATTGCTCATAGCAACAGTTTACCGCACTTACATGCTATTTAACCCTGTGGGTGTTATATCCTCTCTGCCTTGCAGATGAAACAAGGGCTCAAAGATGTGAAATCAGGTGCTGAAATTAGGGTGGGGCTGAGTTGGGATTTGAACCCATGGAGGTTGGCCTCAGTCACGAATGTTAGACTGTCCCACCTTGCCCTTTGTCTTCCTGGGTCTCGATGCCCTGGTGCTGCCTGTTGGAGAGGATCAGAGTCCCTCAGGTTGAGGTTTGAGCTGCTCAGGGGCAGGGAAGACCCAGGAGGACACCAAGGAAGGAGCCCTTGGTACAGGATGCTCCCTCGGCCATAAGAGCAGATGTCCCTAGGGCTTCAGAGAATCCTAGCCACTGATTAATTCATGCTGTGTTTCAGCCACTGGGCTGGATATCAGGGGTAAGAGTGGTGAACAAGGACACACTGGCCTTCCCTTTGAAAAACTGATGTCATGGCAGGAGACAGAAAACAGGCGAAAACAGATCATCTTAAGCACCGTTAAGGGACAAGAGAAAGTAACAGAAGATAGTGGAAGAGGGAGTGTAGTGGGAACTACATTTACATGGCAGTAGTGAGGGAGGGAGCAAAAGGAGGAGAGGGAATCGGTCCTGGGAAGATCTAGAAAGAAGTGTCCAGGCAGAAGGAGTAGCACATGCAAAGGCCCTGTGGTGGGAATCAGCAAATTCCATGTAACTAGAGGAAAGTGAATAAGGGGCAGAGGGCCTGCAAGAAGAGATCAGGGAATCAGGGCGGGGAATTTGAGTTTTAGTCATTGGTCAGCTAGGGAAACTAAGGCAGGAGAAGAGACTTGCCCAAGGTCACACACTGAACGAAGGGTGGAAGTCTGAGGGAAGAGCTCGGTTCCTGCTGTGACCTCAGGCATGAAGCACCCCAGTGGGGAGGCCCCCAGGACCCACCCAGCCTCTTCCCACTGTCTTCTCCAAAGAAATGGCGTCCACGGGAAACCCTGCCCCTGCACCATCCTTTCCAGCCTTAACCTCTCCAACCCAGGGCTGTCCAGGCCTTCATCAGGGGTGCCCACCCCCGACTCCCTCCTGTGCCCAGAGGGTAGAGCCCCGTTTTTTTTCCCCCTCGGGGCGTTTTCAGATCCCTTTTGTTACCTGAACAATAAGTAACCCAGGTAGTTAGTTATAAACTCCGCAGGAACAAGGAGCTGGTTGATAATTTATAGCAACATCTCAAATTTAAATGGAAAGTAAATAGCATGCTGTTAGCATTAAAGAAAACCCAATCGGGGCAGGCGGAAAGCACTCTAGCCTTACTGCAGCTTGGGGTGCCTCACTCTCTCCCCTGCCCCTTCTCCCAGCTGGGAGGGAGCCCCTCTGCCCTCCGGGCTCTCCTGCTCCCCTGGGCTTCTCCAGGCCTCTCCATCTCCCCCCATGCCCCTCTCTCTCTCTCTCCCTCCGTGGCTCCTTGCTCTCCCTCAGCTTCCAGGTCTCTGCTGGTCCCCAGGGAGCACTTTGACCTCTGCTCCCCCCTCAGGTGCTGTGGATGAAGCCTCACCCCCAACCCACCATTCCACCAAAGGGGCTGCTGATCCAGAGGCCCCACCCAGCCAGGTAAGAAAGGCCCTTGGTACCCCCTGCCCCCACTCCCACCGGAAAGCCCCCAGTCCCATTTGGGACCCGGAGCAGGTCTGGCGCAGCCCCACCCTGTCCTGGTCGCCCTGGCTCTGGGTCTGGCAAGACCTGACTCTCTGCCCCTCCCCTGCAGCCAAGTAGGGCCCTTTGCCCTCTTCTTCCTGCCAAGTCAGGGGGCCCTGGCTGCTCCCCTGCCCCCTGCCCAGGCCCTCACAAGTCCGGGCAGACCCTGAGGCCTCCCCCCACCTCAAGCTGGGATCAGGACCTTGGACAGAAAAGAGATAGTACGGTAGAGAGCCTCTTTGGGGCTCTTCCTCCCACTGCCCAGTCATGGCAATTGAGAGACCAAACAGAGTGGCCGTGGAGTCCCAGCTGGGTGGCCTTAGTCAAGCTACCTCCCCTCTCTGGGCCTCAGTTTCCTCATCTGTGAGGCAGTTATCCCCAGCTTCTTTCCAGCATTCATCTTGACATTCTCAGACCATTTATATGTGAAACCCCAGCACAGGGTCAGACTGTTAGAATTCCAGTTTAGGAGCCTTTGGGGAGGGCGGTCTCTGCAGCCCCTAGACCCCTACCCCTCCCACTCCTGCTGGGTAAGAGGTTGGTTGGCCCTGGCCTCCCCAGGTCACCATCTTTACAAGTTAATGATCACAGGCCTTATCAGAGCCTTTTACCGTTTATAAATTTATAAAACAAAAGAGAAATAATAAAGCTTGTGGGTAATTAGTAACCAGGTCAGCTTTGCTGAGGAGAGGGGAGGCAGCGGGCTCAGACCCACCCAGTTCTCCGGAAGGGGAGTTGGGGAGCCAGCCAGTGGATGGGGGTGCACAATGGGGAGACCTCACTGGCACACACCACTGGGGGGACCTGAGGCTGTGTAGGAAAGGGGAACAGGTCCTGCCCTGAGGTTCCATCTACTTCAGGTAAGATCTGGGCTTTCCTGGCTTAATGCTTGGGTCCCTGGGTGGCAGAGGGAGCCCCTAAAACCCCAGCCTTGGCCCTCTTTCTCACTAACCATGCTTCCTGGCCCCGGAGCCTACAATCTGAGTGCTTAGCGGGGAGGTTAGGGTTTGGGGAGTGGAAAGGGCCATGGTGGCTAACAATTCCCACCCACCCTCCAGTTCTCCAGTTCTCCAGGCACATAAATTCTAGACGTGCCTGCTTTTCCCTGATCTCAAAGCTCCCCTGGGGAATGCCCTTACTTCCCCAGCCCTGGGCTGAAAGCCTTGGCTTGTGGGGCCTTGGGACTTCGCAGAGGGCCAGGCTGGGGGGCTGAGAGGCTCAGGGCTGGGAGCAGGGATTCCCCTGAGCTCTCGTGGCCCCCATCCCCAACAGCCAGGCGAAAACCTGCAGCTTGGGGAACTCTGGGCTCGGAAGAAAGGCTAGTCAGGAGTTCGGGCGGGGGCGGGGGTCCTCCCTGGGCTCCTTGGATGCTGGGACAGGGGAGGGGTCCTTACTGCAGCAAGGTCTCCACCACGGCTTTCTGGTGGGCTGCTTCCTCAGGGCTGAGGTTCTCCAGCTCTTTGAGGATGGGCGGCGTGAAGTCTTCCCCATCGTCGTCCGTCTCGTCCTCGGAGCCCCTCGCTTCCCCCAGCCCATTGGGCAGCTCAGCCAGTTCCCCCCGACTGCCGCCGCAGGATTCCCCCTTGTCCAGGGAGCCATCTCCAGCCAGCAGGCAGGGCCCCGGCTCACCCAACGCCTGGATCAGGGCCTCCTTGCTCAGGCCGGACTCGAGCAAGGCCCCCAGGAGCTCCGTCTGCAGCTGGCTCAGTTTAGAAACCATGGCTCTGCCACCACTGGGGCCACGAGGCCTAGGGCCACCAAACCGGCAGCCTTCCCCACTGAGTGGGCCGTCTCCTTGCTGGCCGACCAGCAGGCAGGCACAAACCAGGCTCCTTTCACCTACTGCCCCCCCAAACCCCACAAACCAAGCCCTGTGGGCACCCCCAACCCCCAACCCTGGCCCCAGCGGCCAGTGAATCAGGGCCCCTGCCCGCTCTGTTTACATTGGAGCTGGGGAAATTCTCCAAGGTTCATATTTATCCGTGTGCTTAGCGAAGGGACTGAACTTTGGACTTCAGCCCTGCAAAGTGCGGGCCTCATGGCAGTGCTGAGGGACGGGGGAGCCGAGGCCTTCAACGGGAGTGGGCAGAGGGGAGGGTGGGGGAGGCAGGAGGTGGGGTAGAGGGCAGCCAGAATGGAAGGAGCTGGGGGTGCCACGGAGGCCTTTAGGTGAACAGCTTTGGTTCCTGCCGCTGAGGACTTTGTAGGGGGCTCAGGCTGAGACGGGACAGTGAAAAGAGCAGGTTTCCCTTGGGAACTAAAGCTGGAAAGGGGTCCTAGGCAGATGGGCCAGCTCTCCTCAAGGTCAGGGCTAGGTCACATCCATTTTGGGTGTGGGATTCACCTCCAGGCCTCCCCGTAAGAAAGACACGTTGACTTAAGTCTATGCTCATCTATAAAATACGACATTGCCTCATTGTATCCCCCTAAGAGCTGTGAGTAGGTACAAGGATTATCCCCATTTTACAGACCAGAAAACCAAAGGCTCTGAGAGGTGAACCAACTTGCCCAAATCTCAGAGCTAGCAAGGGACCAAACTTGGAAGGTGGGAACAAGGCAAGGCCGGGCAGGCACTTGACTCGTGTAAATTTTAAGGGGGCATCAGTAAACAGTAATTAATGGAGTGCCTGGGTCTCTGCCTTCAGCTCAGGTCATGATCCCACGATTCTGGGATCGCGCCCCACACTGGGCTCTATGCCCACCGGGAAGCCTGCTTCCCCCTCTCTCTCTGCCTACTTGTGATCTCTCTCTCTGTCAAATAAAATCTTAAAAAAAAAAAAGAGCTCAGTAATTGAGAAAAACTGTATTTTTATACAATATAGTAAAAACCAAAATTAATGCAAACCTCAAAAAAGAATTAAAAACATACCCACACAAGAGCCTGCATGTGAATGTTCATAGCGGCATTACTCATGATAACCAAAGTGGGGAGAAAACATAAATATCTATCAATGGACAATTGTGTGAGTAAGATATAGTGCATCCATGGTGTGTTATGGTATGTTATGGCATGTGATTTGGCCATAAAAAGGAAGGAAAGGCAGATACTCGCTACAGCATAAGTGGTCCTTGAAAGTATTGTATGCAGTGAAAGAAGCCGGTTGCAAAAGGCCGTCTATGATTCCATTTCTAGGAAATGTCCAGAAGCGGCAAATCTATACAAAGTCCATGACTGGTTGGAGGTGGGGTGGGGCATTGTTGGGGAGGGGGAGGGACTGCTTCATGGGTATCAGGATTTCTGTCGGGATGATGAAAACATTCTAGAATTGACTAGGTGATGTCTCACAACTCTGAGAATAACTAAAAACCGATGAATTGAGCACTTTACAGGGTGGATTTTATGATACAAGAGTCAGTAGACTATGATTTTTAAATTCAGGCAAAAATATCTGGTAGGGACGGCTGGGTGGCCCAGTCGGTTGAGCATCTGCCTTCTGCTCCGGTCTTGGTTCCCGAGTCCTGGGATCGAGTCCCTTATCCAGCTCCTTGCTCAGCGGGAAGCCTGCTTCTCCCTCTGCTTGCGGCTCTCCCTGCTTGTGCCCTCCCTTCCTCTCTCTGGCAAATAAATAATTCTTTTTTTTTAAAAGTCTCTGATGGGGGCGCCTGGGTGGCTCAGTGGTTAAAGCCTTGCATCTCATCGGGCTCTCTGCTCAGTGGGGAGCCTGCTTCCCCTCCTTCTCTCTCTGCCTGCCTCTCTGCCTACTTGTGATCTCTGTCAAATAAATAAATAAAAATATTTTTTAAAATAATAACAAAAAATAAATAAAAAAGTCTCTGATGGGGCGCCTGGGTGGCTCAGTGGGTTAAAGCCTCTGCCTTCGGCTTAGGTCATGATCCCAGGGTCCTGGGATCGGGCTCTGTGCTCAGCAGGGAGCCTGCTTCCCTTCCTTTCTCTCTGCCTACTTGTGATCTCTGTCAAATAAATAAAATCTTAAGTCTCTGATGAACAAAATACTAAAATTTTATTTTATTTTTTTAAGTAAGCTCTATGCCTAACATGGGGCTTGAACCCCTGACTCCCTACAATCGAGAGTTCCATGCTCCATCAACTGAGCCAGCCAAGTGCCCCTAAAATACAATTTTTTTTTTACATAGCTTTGGCTTTATTGAGGTACAACTGACCGATAAAATTGCAATATATTTGAAGTGTACAATATGATAATTTGTATATGCATACAGTCCCAGTAATTTTAGGAGCAATTAACTTTTCATTAACATAAAATGTAGTAATTGTTTCCGGGGTACAGGTCTGTGAATCATCAGTCTTACACAATTCACAGCACTCAGCATAGCACATACCCTCCCCAGTGTCCATCACCCAGCCATCCCATCTCTCCCCTCCACTCCCCAGCAACCCTCAGTCTATTTTCTGAGATTAAGAGTCTCTTCTCTATGGTTTATCTCCCTCTCTTGTCCTCTTGTTTCGTTTTTCCGTCTCTTCCCCATGATCCTCTGTCTTGTTCTTCAGATTCCACATATGAGTGAGATCACACGACAATTGTCTTTCTCTTACTGACTTTGCTTAGCATAATTCTAGTTCCATCCATGCACACCCATTGCAAATGGCAGGATTTCATAAAATACCACAATTTTAAAATAAGGACAGGCTGCAGCCCTCACTTGCCTTGCCCCTAATCCCAGCCCTGTGCAAGAACACCACACACACACACACACACACACACACACACACCCCTCTCTTCCCTGTTCCAGTCAGATCCTTGACAAAATTCCTGAAATTTGTCCCCTGGGGTGGCCCTCAGTGCCCAGAAGGAGGAGTGCCGCCATTTCCGGGAGTAAGCAGGGTGGTGGTGAGGGGGTGCACCTCAGGGCTCTGCAGAACTCAGGTCATGACTTGGTAGCAGAAGAGGAAAATGTGCCCTTGGCCAGAAAACGCTCCCTGCGGAGCCAGGCCAGGCCAGCACAGACCAAGGGGCTGCTTAACTGCAGTAACCGCTTTCCCTGTCTGTTACCTGACGCCCCCCTTACCTGGGGCTCCAGTCCTGCTTTCCCTGGATTATGCCTTTATTGTTCCACTCCCCTTCCCACTGAGCACAGAGCCGCACATGGGGCTCGATCTCACGACCCAGAGATCATGATCTGAGCCAAAACTGAGACTCCGAGAGTCCGTTGTTCAACCGACTGAGGCACCCAGGTGCCCCTTGCTTGCACCTTCTAACATGGTCCACAGTATGTGGCTACTGAGTACTTAAAATGTGGCTAATGCCTCTGGGTGAACCATATTTTGGGTGTATTGGGAGAGAGCGAACGTTTTTAAAACACAATCTAAAATTTTCTAAATGAAAAATTAGAAAAATTCATCTCCCCAGTTTCTTTTTACTTTTGTAACAGTACTGCTGGGAAATTGTAAATTACATTATGTGGCTCCTCTATTTCTGTCTGACCTAGGCTCTGTAATTGACTTCTGTGTGTGTTACTTAGGGTCAGTCTCCCTCTGCTACAGTGTATAAGCCCCCTGAGGGCAGGGTTTTTTCCTCTGTCTTATTCACTGCTGTATTCCCAGGGGTTAGAATATTGCCTTGTATATACATAGGGGGTGGCCAATAATTATTTGTTGAAAATGAATAGACAGCTAAATTTCACTGTAAACAGACCATGCATATTGAGCCATTCACTAAGTATAAGCGTTAGTGATGTATTAATTAAATTCTCAGAACAACTCCACCTAGTAGGTACTACTGTTCCATCTGCGGGGAGTGGGGAGGTGGGAACAGAGGCTCCAAGGGGTTAAATGACTTGCCCAGAGTCCCCGAGAGCCAATAGTCTGCCTCTCTCCCCCAGTGCTTTTCCTCCGATGCAAGTTGCTCTGAGGAGCAGGCAGCTCACTGGCGGTCCCTTCACGATCTCACTGGTCTCTTACCTGCTATCTATCCCCTACCAGGAGGCTGCCTGCTGCCCAGAGGGGTCCGCGGTGACTCTCCACCTAGAAAAGGGAACCCGGGGGAGGGGAGAAGGGAGGGGCCTGGATTCTTCCGCTGCCTGCGTTTGAAATCTAACTGCTGAGCCCGCCCGCAGCCCGGTGGCTGAGCCTGGGACTCCAGACGGAAGGTGCATTTGCCTGGGGGTTAGGAGCACAGCCTAATGGGAGCTTCTGCTCCCACTACGCTCAGAGGCTGCTGTCCTGGGTCCCCTGAGTAGGGGACCTCCTTAGGATATGAATAAGAAGGGACACATCAAGAACGTGACCCTACTTCTCCGCAAGCAGAAGAGGCTGCGCTTCCCCCAGTCAGGAGGCAAATCTAAACAGGAGTCGTTTGCCTTCTAGAGAAGGACACAGACCTAGTTTGAATGTCAAGGTCCCCATACACCATCCCCAGCCCCGCCCCTGGCGGGCCTCAGGCACGTGAGCTAGCCTTTCTTGACTCATCTATAAAACAGAGGTAGGGTTGCTTAAGACAACTTTTTGTAACAAGCATGATGCAGATCGCAAACTTACTTGGTCCAAGGCACCCAGTGTCTCTAAAGCACCTTGTGCTCCCACCTGCGCAACAAACAGTTCCCCCAATAAAACCTAACCGGTTTAGTAGGTATTTAGATCAAAACAACTCTTAAATATTTATGTCCTAACAGCTTAGAGGCCACTTGAAAAAATACACATAAATGGAAAGAAAAAAGTATTTTAGTTCCTTCTTGAATAATCACAACTACATAATAATGGAATGAGAGCTTGCTGGACTCTACACAGCTCAACCCTTGGGATTAGATTGGCCATTACCACCCTCATTTCCTGTTCCACAATAATTTTCGTATGATACTGGGGGTTTTATCAGAACTGCCATAAACCACACCCTCCAAAGGAACGAAGCTCCAACATTCAAACTGCGAACTACCTTGAGCTAGCAG